CCCCGCACCCGGACTGCTAGCCGCCGTGACTGGAAGAAGCGGCTTCCCCGCCATGGCTGAGCCTGCACGTGCGCCTGCCCCAGCAGTCCCACCTCCCTGGCCGCATGGCCATCTGCAAGCAAAGCTGTTTGGGGCAACCCCGTGCGTGTGCAGACATCTGTGCCCTCTCTCGGGGCATGTCTGTCCGGGGCTCTAGATCAGCAAACAGGTGCATGCGTGCAATGAGGCCATTTGCCATTGCACTTGAGCACAGGGCTGGGTAGATGTGCCTGTGAATTAGTACTGCAGATGTGGGCAGGTGGGGTGCAGGGTCAGGACATATTCAAAGATGGTAGGTCCCGGGTCTCTGTCCACGCCTGCACACTGGGTGAGTCTGGGTAAATACTGGAGAAAGAAGACATGGGGAAGGGGCGCCTGGGTGGCTCAGTCGGTTAAGCATCTATCGGCTCAGGTCATGAGCCCAGGGTCTTAGGATTGAGCCCCACATCTGGCTCCCTGCTCAGCAGTGAGTCTGTTTCTCCCTCTCCCTCTGCCCCGCCGCCTGCTTGTGTTTGCTCTCTCCTCTCATTCTTTCTCTCTCAAATAAATAAATAAAATCTTAAAAAAAAAAAAAGACACGGGGAAGACAAGGAGAAGAGCTGGTGGTGGCATTCAATAAGACAACTAGGGATGACTGAATGGGATGAGAAGAAAGGGAAGGCGGGCAGAGGATGGGTGCAGAGACATAAGGAACAGAGAGAGAGAGCACACTAAAAGAAAGTGCCCAGATGTCCACGCACTGCAGTCAACTAGGCCCCAAATGTAGTCAGAGAGAACAGGAAGGAAACGGTAGGGGAGAGGTACAGGAAGAAACCCAGAAAGGACAGGGAGAGGAGGAAGGTGACCCAAGAGGGGAGGAGTGGGGCGAGGCAGCTGGCGGGAACACCATCGGCTCCCGAGGAACCCCACACCTGGGCTTTGCAGCTGTTCTCTCCTCAGCTGGCTGCTTGAGCAACCCCTGGCTCAGCAGCAGGACCTCCCCCAGGGCAGCCTGCCCTCTGGCCGCTTCCCTGCCACAGGCTGGCAGCCACCCACACCCAGCTCAGAGCACACGGAGAGCCATCCAGGCTGGGGCAGGGAGCTGAAAGGCAAGCAGAGAAGGGGGGGGGGGTCTCTGTTCTCCGACATACACGGGCTGGTGCGCACGTAGGTGCCGATGCCCCTGCAAAGCCCAGTACCCAAACGTGTGCACCCCCATGTCCACCTCCATGTCCCTGTGCGTCCTTTGAACACCCGTCCTGACTACACGAGGCATCACTTGGACACAGCAAAGTTGGTCCGCGCCACCTCTTCCAGCAGCCCTAGCAGTTCCTGGACTTGGCTCAGCAAAGTCTCCCTTTTCGGTCCTTGAATTTGCTGCGTGGGATCTCTTGGCTGGGCTGCCTGGGCGGGGCCGAGCCCGCGGGGCTCCAGCAGCCTGAGCTCCAGCAGGTCTGGGCCCTAACACTGCAAGAGGCACAGAGCCTCCAGCTCACTCGGCAAACCTGGCTCTGCCCCTGTAGACGCCACCCTACGGGTCGGAGGTATGGGGGCCGTCTTTGGGTTTACAGCTGTGCACCCGGGGTGTGTCTGTGTGGCTCCGGGTGTCATGAGGCACCTAGCAAGGTCAGAAGCTGGGTGTGCTAAACCAAGTGACAGTTCTGAGGCGTGACGTGAGGAAAAGTCCCTCACGTCTCCTTCGACTGCCCTCCTTTCCTATCCCTCACCAGCTCATATGCCACCTCCTCCTTGCAGCCTCCCTGAGGCTCGGCTGGGGCGACCACAGCTCCTGGGCTGAGACTAAGCCTTTAGTGCATTTATTATCAATGATTTCATTCATACAGCAAACCTATACAACACAACACCCACTGTGGGGGACGGGCTACTAGGTGGCCCCCCACGATCTCTATCTCCCCGTGTCTGTGCCTTTGTGAGATCTCTTTCCCAAGAATGTGGGCGGGACCCGTGACTTGCTTTTAATCAAATCAGGCATCGGGGTCTCTGTAGCCCCTAGAACATTGTTAAGTCCCCTCTTTCTCCAACATCCAGAAGAATTTCCATCCTGAAAGACCATTCCCTGCCCCATCATTTAGGACTTGGGATAACAGCGATGTCCCCCAGCTACGAACACATCACCGCAGCTCAAGCATGGGCCCTGGCAGGACCGGAGGGGCTTCTGGAGCTCCCTCTGCTGTACCATGCAGCACGGGGTACAAGGGGGCGCGCTTCCTTCTGCCTTCTCAGAAAGGCGGGACCCTGCCTCTATCAGCCTAAATCACTAGCAGAAAGCCTGGCACATAGTAGGGCTGCCATTAGTGTTTATTGATCGAAGAATAAAGGACTGATAAAATAACACAGGAACAAGGATGCTGTGCCTGTTTCCAGCAGAAAGACCATTTTGCCGGGAGCCAGGGGACTGAGAGTGTTGGCCTGCAGCTGATGCGTGAAGGAACCAGGAGAAGCCAGATTTCTCTGTGGATAGAAACACAAAGCTGGCTGTCCGGAGATGCTTCTGGGGACAGAGGCAGTGGAAGTGGTGCCCTCAGCCAACCCCGACACCCCCACTAACTAGAGAGAAGACAAGGGCTTCCCCGTCCTTCATGCCAGTTTCTCTCAGCAAAAGGAATAAAACGGCTCACTTAATTTTATCGCCTACAGATTTCTTGGGAAATGGGCTATTAGTTCCCCTAATGTAAAGATAATAGGCTCTTCCCCCTTGGCAAATGGCACAGCCCCAGCACAAACACGCTCCCAGAACCTTCAGAAAGTCTCTTCTGTGGAGGATGGAGGGTGGAGGACCCGCCTGGGAGCGGGAGCGGGAGCAGGACCAGAGGGGAACCAAGGAGCGGGCTGGTGGGTGCTGCTGGCAGCCCCCCCATGCTGAGTGTCCCCTCAGTGCCCCCGGGGAGAGGTCACACCTGACAGAGCTCACAGCCTCAGAGACCCGACTTCCCTCTCCTCTTGGCCGGTGGGGCAGAGGCTGGGGCATCGGTGGAGGAGATGCTCATTGGCTGAATGAGGGTCTCTCTGCTACAAAGCAGGCTCACAGAGCCAGAGACCTGGTTTCGGGGGGCTCTCCCAGCCATGCCACTGCCCCCTCGGAAGACGTCACTCTGGATTGCGCAGTCTTCATGACTATAACCCTCCCAAACATCTGGCGGGGGGAAGTAGATGCTGTTAGCATTGCCTGGCTGGTAATCACGGCCTGATGAATACAACGTGAAAGGTCGGGTTAACTCATGCTCACCCTCCCACCCTCGTTTTCCGTGGGGAATCCTCTCTCTCCTGCCCTCACACAAGGGGCTGAGATAGCACCAGGCATCATAAGACAATTAACCCCCTACCCGGCCCCACACGGTCAAAAATCCACATAAAACTTTTGACTCCCCCAAAACTTAACTACTAACAGGCAAATGTTGACTGGAAACCTTGCCAAAACACAGTCGATTAACCCATATTTTGTATGTTATATATATATATATTATATACCTTATTCTTGCAGTAACGTGAGAGGAAAGAAAATGTTAAGAAAATCCTAAGGAAGAGAAAATACATTTACAGTGCTGTACTGTATTTATCGAAAAATATCCACCTAGAAGTGGACCCACACAGTTCAGACCCATGTGGTTCAAGGCTCAACTGATGAGTGATGCCCCTCTAACAGGTGAAATCACAAGCATGAGACAGGCAGAGTAAGTCAGCCAAAGTCACACCGCAAGCCCATGGCTGAACTGGGACTCGAATCAGCAACGGGGCCCCCAGGCCAAGACAGAAGGCTTCCGGGGAAGCGGGCCCTGCATGTTCCGTTCAGGACCTCGTCCTTCATCCCCCCTCCGTCTCCATCACAGGACAGAGCGACTGTAATAACAGCACTTCAAGGACCCGGGAGGACAGGCTCTCAGGGAGCTCCCTGCCCCCTCACACACAGGGTGCGGGTTCCTCGGCCCTGGGAAGGACCACTCTCTCCACCAGAACAAGGAAAAGCCTGGCATCCCTGTAGCCTGCGAGACAGGCCCCCCCATGGCAGCTGGGCGCCCTGCGAGGTGGCAGCTTCACCTGGGTATCTATCTAATCACACAGGCTACACTCTGTTTTCTGTCGCTGCCTTCTTGTCACATTTCTGCCCTGTCTCTCTATCCACAAGCTCTGTGGGGGCAGGGATGCTGACTGGTACCATTCTTGGTCCCGGGGAGCCTGGGCAGTGCTGGGCAGGGAAGGGGGGGCTCAGGGACACCTACCAATTGATGAGACTTGGGGCAGGGGGTGAGGCAGGGATCTGTCCCACAGACCACAGGGAGGGAGTGTGCAAACCACCTTTTCTGCCCCAAGCTTCAGTTTCCGGCTATTCTTGGTCTGTGTGTGTCTCCCTAAGAATCCAGGCCTGACGCACAGAAGGTGCTCTCCTCCCACCCCTGCCTCTCCGAGCCCTGCCGCTTGAGCTGTGCAAGCACAAGCAGACAGCAGGGATGGCCTCACGCAGAGGTCAAGCGGCAGCTACCCGCCATTCCTCGTCTCTCGGCTGTCAGACATCTCCAGAGTAGGTGGCATGGCCTGGGGACGGACAGAAATGAACTCACATTATCTGTTTCACTGTCCCAAAGGAGGAAGAGGGTCTGTCTAAAGCCATGGAGACTCTGGGCAGGAGGTTTGCTGACAGCCTGGGAGGTTGCCCAGGAGGGGCGCTCCAGCCCAGGTGAGCGTGTCCAGCCCAGGAGGGGGAAGCTGCCTTTGACTACCCCTTTAGGACCATCCACGGGGTGATCAGAACCCCTTCAAGGATGGCAATGGGGTGCAATCACACTATGTTTCAGAGGGGATACCAGAGGACAGACGGGTCCACAATCCCTCCGGCTGCTCTGAAGTTTCAAGAAGGGGTAAGGATGCAGCTGCCCCCACAGGGGCGAGTGCGGAGTCACCAGGGACCACAGAAGGATGAGGCCAGGCGAATTTGAGCATGCGAACTCAAAGCAGGATAGGCCAGTTTACTGATCAGCCTTCCCCTCCTCCTTGTCCTCCTCCCCTTTCTCCTCCTCCTCCTCCTCCTCCTCTTTGTCTTGGGGCTCCGAGGTCTCAGCCTCAGGCCCCTCCTCTCCCGAGGGCGCCTCCATCAGGAGGTCCTGCACCAGCTGCTCCAGGGCCCCCAGGCTTATCCTCTGCAGGCGCTCCTGGTGCTCCCGCCTCAGCAGCTGCAGCACTGCCTTGGTGTCGTGGGGCGCGAAGTGTTTGGCTAGGACCAGGCCCAGACAGTGCCACAGGGGCTGGGGCTGGCCGGCCTCCGCGGCCGCTGTCTTCGCCAAGGGCCGTATGATGACATTGATGGAGGCATTGGGCCCGATGCAGTAGTCGGAGAGACACTTGTCATCAGCCAGACGCTGGCCTCGGAAGAGCAGGTACTGCTGCTCCTCGGGCACCTGCAGTCGCTCTGACACCAGCTTCTTCAGCATGGCCACACTCTCTTGCCCTGACACATTCAGGCTGCATCTCCTGCCCAGGAGCAGCTTGACCGTGAGAATCATCGGGCCAAGAAGAGAATCAGGAGGGATCCATGCTCCGCCGCTGCCCTGAGGGTTAAGGTCCAGTGCAGGAGAAGGTGGCTTCTCCCTATCAATGGAGGGCGGTGGTCCCAGGAGGCCAGGGGCCAGCCCCCCATGGGCAGCCATTGGCTAGTGCTCTATGATGTCACAATGCGGCGTGAGGGCTCATTTTGAGAGCGGGACTCTGGGGAAATCAGAGGGACATTTTGGGCACAGGACATCCTTCCTCCATAAAGGGAGAAAGGAGAGTAGGTTAAGGAGCAGGAGGGTCCAAAAGGAGAGGGTAGCAGAAAGAAATACGTCCTCATTGACTCATTCAACACATATGTACTGGGTGCCTTTGCCAGGACCTGTCCCCAAGGAGAGATGGGATCACGGTGGATACTTTCTGCCCTCATGAAGCTTTCAATCTAGTGGCTAACGTTTATTTATCAAGTGTCTTCTCTCTGGCAAGCACTTGACACGCTCTCTCAGATTGGGGTTCCCAGAAGCAGACCCGGGGACAGGGATTCCAGGGCACCTGTTGAGTTGGGGGGGTGACCCCGGGAAGCGGCAGTAGGAGGTGAGGAGGTGAGACAAGGCAGCGAGGGAAGCCAAAACTGCAGAAATGAGCAGGTGGCCCTCGTGAGTCACCGGGGAGGCTTCCATCCTGCCGCATGCTCCGGAAGGTTCAGAGTAGACCCCTGAGTTGTACCACCTGAGGAGCAAAGATGCTGGATCTGTGTGCTCGGGCTCCCGCCCTTGGCTAGTGGGGGCGCTGACCTCGGCTGCGTGGCCTGCGCAGGTGCAGAGCATGCTTCTGTGACCAGAGAAAACCGGTGCGCAGAGATTTGCAGGCATTGGCAGGTGGGAGCCCTCAGGGGTTGGGGAGCAGGAGTGCAGGGAGGATGCAGTGGGTTCCCCGGCTGTGCCTGCTGCCCGGCCCTGCCCTACGGACTCCTCACCACCTCAGAGGTGCTACTGCTATGTTCTCCATTCGCAGAGGACAGACCATGGAGCTCGGCTCACCCACACGGCAAGCAGCAAGCAGCACAGCTGCGTCTTCACCCTTAGTGCATGTGGCCTCCTGAACCATCTGCTCCGGGGCTCCGGGGCGCTGGGCACTCGGAGACAGCCGGGGCTCCGCGGCCAACAGGGAACACGCGTGGGGCCTCTGCCTCTGCCCGTCAGCTCCTTCTGCTGGGTTCAGTTTTCTGTCCCACTTGTTAAAGGTCTCCTGGGTCAAGCCCTTTCTATAGGCTGGCACATTTAAGCCTGCGAGGAAGGTATCATAATGCATTTTAGAAATGAGCGAGTGTGAAGAAGGCCTGGCTGACTCCCCATCCGGTAGGGTGGTTTCACAGCTCCCCAACTCTCCCCCCTCTCCGTGCTCCGCGGCTATGCTCGGCTCCCACCTCCTCTCTCCTCCCTCCAGCCTGGGCGACACTTGAACGCTGGTTCAAAACCACCTCCTCCAGGCTACCAACACCCTTGGACTTTTCAGACCTTGCCCTGGCACAGCACTCAGCCCGGATCCCCTGCCCAGGGTCACTCCAACCACCACCCCTCTCTTCAGGCCCTGGCAGCCTCGGGCCAGGTTCTCACTCACGGCATCGACCCAAATTCTAGTCCATAGGGAAACCGAGCCCACTGATCAGGAAGCCCCTGACATCTTGCCCTTTCCCACCAACCAGAGTGCTGCCCCAGTCCCCTCCTCCTCCTCCTCTCCCTTACCAAACGAGCCTTCTCTATTTCCATTCTTCTTCAGAAATGTCTCCAAAATCCACCCTTCGTCTGCATCTCCACTGACCCCAAGCCAATCCAGGCTCTCACCTTCCTCCAGCCTGTGGCTCAGGATTCATAGCTGATCTCTGTCCAGTCCCACCCCCTTGGGTCCATTCACACTGCAGCCAAGGGAGTCCTCCTAAATAAAAGTGAGGCCAAGTCCCTCCTCTGCATTAACGCCATCCAGTTTAATCCTTTTAGCCGTTGGAACCAAAATCGGCCTCCTTAGCCCGGCACCCAAGGGCACCATGGCCCTGCCCCGCTTGCCTCCCGAACCTCATTGCTTCCCCACACTGCATCCTCCACGCCAGCCAACCTCCAGCCATTCCCTCTACTTGCTTGTCCCATGTGAAGTCTTCGAGGCTGGTTAAAAACCACCTCCTCCATGAAGCTTTCTCTGCTTTCCCCAAGCTTGGGAGGGGCAGTCCCCCCCTCCCTCTGTGCATCTGTTAATGCCCTCGAGCATGCACCTAGCATGTGTCTCCCTCACGGGCCATCGACCATTGGAGGGAGTGAGTCTTACCAGTCCTTGAAAGCCCTACCACCAGCACAGAGCCCAGTTCAGAGAAAGCTTCAAATACACGTCTGTTGAATGAAGATAAAATTCAAACCTGCTGAGTAGGCAGGAGGATGCAGGATCCAGTATGACAGGCTGTAGAAAGGTAAAAACCTGCCCGCAGCCTCTCCCTTGCCCCTCCCTCTTCCCCTAGAGAGATGAAAATCCAAAATTACACAAAAAATAAATCAGAAAGTGATTCTAATCTTTACCAAAGGATCTTCTATCGTATTCTTTAAATAGTCAACTCCCTTGGTGCATTTGAAATAAGAGAGAATTTGCAAATGTGCATATAGCGTGTGGGGTCCCCGTGGACTCCACGATGTCAGGGCGTCTGCTCAGAGAGAGTAGCACGTGGATGAGGCTTCTCCCTGGACAACTGGAAGCTCCCAGCCTCTGGAGAGGAGGACTCTGTGGTGGATAAACCATGGGATGGACAGTATTCGGGACAAACCGTGTGAGAGGTGCAAAGCAGAGGTAATCCAAGGAGGCTTCCTGGAGGAGGCCAAGTTTGAGTTGTCTTTGGCAGGATACAAAGGAAGGTGAGATGGCCTGCAATCTCTCTCCTGGCTCTGGGTCCTTCTGAAGAAAGTGGCAGGAGGCAGAGTTCTGAGCATGGACGGAAGTAAGAACAAGCCATCTGCCTCTAGGCTCTCCCCCTCAGACCATCTACCCAGTGGGTGCTGCCCAGGACACTGGCAGGACTGGGGAAGGGCCTGGCTTCTAGAAGCATGTGAGAGCCACATCTCAGGCTCCGTCTCGCCAAGGCTACTTGGTGCCCCTGTGACAGGGATTTTGAGGGCCACAGCTGTTGGTCATGCTTTTCAAATCCGGCTCCCTGGTCTCGAGAGCCCCATGTTCCTAACAGGCCATGAGGACAGAAGGGGCAGAATTGGGGGTATCCTAGGAAACTGAGAAAGATGATCACCACCTGACCCCTGCCCCTGTGCCTGGAGCTCCCATTGCCTTCCCCACGGGGGACGACGGGGGCACCTTGCTGGGCCCTCAAATAGTATTTGGAACCTGGAAAGTTCATCATCTTTCCCATACAATTGTTTGTCTTCATTACACAATTAGCATGAGAAAATGTAATCGTGTCTTCAGAGCATGCAATCAGACGATTGCCATAATTGGGGGGAAGGCTAGCGGGAACGACTGGGTCTTGTGACTTGAGCAGAAGGAATGAACACGGGCTGAGAGAACACCGGACGGCGGTGGGCTCGGGCCCCCTCTCGCAAACCACAACACATGCGATTGCGGCACCGGAAAACAAGTGCAATGTCTGTGTTGGGGGCGGGGTCTGGGGACAGGCCTGTGAACGCCAAGGTACCTGCAGGGCCCTGGCAATGCTCCTGAGCAGACTGACGACATCGGTTCGCTGAGGCCGTGAACTCCCTAAGCAAATCGCCATGTGTCCGGCTGCCAGCCTGGGGCCTGCCTGAAGTAAGCCTCATCCTTGAACTTCATTCGCCTGCACTGCCTCATGGGGGTCTGAGCCCTGTTCAGCCTCCCCGGCAGGTCGTGCCCCCAGGCCCCAGCACAGCGCCTGATCCATGAAGGCATTCAGTACCTGCATTGATATAAACTAATCAATGTAAACGTGAGCTCTGTCACCCCAGGCTGTCAGGGAAGGCCCCACGGGAAACGGGCCCAAACGGGATCCCCAGGCGCGCGCCCCCGGAGGGAGCTCTCACTGCGCACACAGGGAGGCGGGCCATGCACGGCTGGCTCAGGGGAAGAAGGCCCAAGATGCTCCCGGACAGCTGGCGGGGCTCTGGGCTGTGGGGAGAGCACAACCCCTCCTTGGGGCTGCACAAGAGGCTCATTGAAAAGATAGGCATGGGGTGCCTGGGTGGCTCAGTCGTTAAGCGTCTGCCTTCGGCTCAGGTCATGATCCCAGGGTCCTGGGATCGAGCCCCGCATCGGGATCCCTGCTCGGCGGGAAGCCTGCTTCTCCCTCTCCCACTCCCCCTGCCACTGGCAGAGGGGCTGAGAGCCTGGAGTCGTGATGGTTCTGGGCCCCCTGCGGCCTCCAGCCCCCCACCACCCCCACCACGCCGCAGTGGCTGCTGGGCCTCAGTGAGGCCCACACTCTGCAGGACGCTCTCCGAGACCTTGGAAGAGAGAGTGCTGACTACCAGACAGGGCGAGGGGGGACACTGACAGGTGTCCTCAGGCCCACCGCTGTGCTGCCGGGGACCCCACTCAGCCCGTGCCACCTCCTGTCACCAGGGCCCCTTGCCCCTTTCAGGAGGGGTCTCTCAGGCGGCTCTGTGCTCAGGCAGGCCTAGCCCAGGACAGAAGACGCAGCTCATTAGGCGGCCCCTACCCCCAGCCGCCCTCTGCGGCATCTGGCACGTAGTAGGTGCTTGGTAGCTACATGAGGCCCATTGCCCACGCCTCATCCACTGGCTGGCACTGGCCGTCTCAGCAGCTGCACGAAAGTGGGTCTGCAGCTGTTCCATGGGGAACCCCAAGATACCCCTGACAGGTCTTAGGGAGCTGAGGCTGAGGCGTGTGGGCCAGGCTGGGCAGGACCAAGGGAGCCAGAGTGGAAGGAAGGCAGCAGATAGCGCTGGGCTGCCGGAACCATCCTAGCCCTGCGCTCACCGACTGTGGGCCGCCCAGCCTCTCTCTGGGTCTTGGGCCTCGCCCCAAACCACGCTCTGCCCTCGCCGCTGTCCTGGAGCCCTCCAGAAGTCAGACACTGGCCTCCGGCGGCTGGGAAGCCGAGCCCCGCCCCTTACAGGACAGCCTCCCACCTGGAAGACCCCGTGGGATGCGGCGCGCTGTGACCACTAGATGTCACTGGCGGCCTCCCAGGCCGGCTCCAGCAGCCGCGCCCCAAGCGGGCCCGGGGCCTCTGCCCCTTGGGGCCTCTAGGCACACAGGGCTGGATCGGGGGCCAGAACCTGGCCTCCCTCACACTGCCTGTCGCCCCTGCCCATGCCCACAGGGCCCGCCCCAGGGCCCACCCTGAGGCCGGAAGGCAGGATAGTAAGACAGGCCCCCGTGGGGGACACACACACACACAGATCCACCATTTCAGCCCTGTGCATGGACTTTATCATGGAGGGGAGGACCTCTGGGCTCCAGCCAGCCTGGCCAGAGAGGCTTTGCTCTCAAGGAGGGACTTTGGGTGGGGCTGAGGGAGGAGCTGGAGCTACCCCAGGGACAGGGCAGGACGGGCGCCCTGGCTGGGGGGCCCAGCATGCAGGAACGTGGGGAGGAGCGTGGGGTTCGGTGTGATGGAGTGCAGTGGCAGGCGGGGGGCCAGGAGTGACCCGGGGCAGGGACAAAACAAGCAGTGGCCAGTCACCCTCACAGAAGTGATCTTTCCAGGGGCTGACAGTTCTCTAAGTTAAACCTAACACATGCTAAGTCCCTGCAGGGCACATGGGAGTCCCAAAGGAGCAGTCCACAGCCACTACTCAGGCTCTTAGTCACACGCACACGCACGCGCACGCGAGCACTCTGCCGACCTAAGCTGGGATCAGCGGACGAACTCCTTTACCACACTGTCTTTGAGCTCTGCCAGGGCTGGAGAAATGCCAGGACCCCAGCCGGTGCTCCACTGCCTAGTGAGCTCCCGCCTCCCTCAGCACCTTCTCTATGAGGGGACACCGCCCATGGAGGGGCTGGTGGCCCATCATCTCAGCTGGGGGAAGCCTCAACCATGATCCATCCACACAGGGCGTCCCCCCACCCCCCGGCCGTCTGCACCCTGGGCTGTGTGATTGCAGCTGATAAAAAATAGTTTGCATCAGCCCGTGGCCGTGCTACTGTGACATTCATTTAAACATACTACACGTACTCTGGACTTGAGTGTAATGTACGTAAACCCTCCCGGACTAGGATTCCGCCAGATGACTCCTCAGACAAGGGGCCATCAGCGAGCACTGGGAGCGGGA